ATCGCTTTAGATTCAGAACTTTCGCGTTCGATTCCTGTGACGTCATTAGTGACGTCATCGGAAATCAAAATGCTTCCGTCACTGACCGTCAAACGATTAAGTATTCCCAACTGAATATCGGGAATAATTTTTTTGCCATCGTTTTAAAAAGCGGACTTGGCGTTACCACATTATGGATCCTGTACTAGATCGCCTTGTGGAACCCCGAGACTATATTACCGACTCTTCAGTTGTGCCTACTTGGCTTTAAGGTAAAACGTTTGTTCAATAGACTCTCTCATACAGAAACACCCGCGGTCGTAAGGATTACACGAGGTGTATGAATTAGGTCCCTCCATCATTATGGTCGTCGGCGAAAGTCGTCAGCAACTATTGAATTGAAAATAAATATCATTTTCCCAGCACGACATCTTTAGCAGACCGAGGAAAATGAAATAAAGATAACGAACGCTGTGTTCCTTCTCGACAGTATTCGAACAACAAATCTATTTGTTTGTTAAAAACTACTCCGAATCGGCTTTCATTTCGGGCCCCTGGATTCTTATTGCACTTAAGTTTTGAATGGGGGAGTATCTACATTTACAAGTCATGAGTGAGCACATCTTCCCCATCATTGTTGTCATCCGTTTAGTTATCATTTGCCTGTTTTGTTGTGATCCCCCATATTCTCACCAAGGTGAGAGTTGAGGACTCGCAGATAACAAAAAAGCTTTAAAGCATCCTTGTCAGTTTCGCAGACCTTTGGTCGAGCGCTGGAGTCGAGCTAAGCCACCTCGAACAACATTGGGAATCAGTGACTAGAACTAAATACGAATCTTTCGGGACGACGTCGGGCTGTGGATCGTAGCTACAGTGTGAATTGATTAAAAGGGTATAGAATCTAGAAAGAGGGCGAGATACGAATGAATGAGAGAAATCTGATCTCTTTACGATACGTCCATTGAAAAGATCTTTGTCCCCCTAGGTCCAATCTCTGCTAAAGTCTAGCTGTGATCTGTGCCGGAGTTTCTCATATTGCTCAGTAGAACAAGTAGATCGGAAAATGTCCTATAATTGGGTAGAAAGAGGCAGGGACCCTGTTTTGTGGGGCTCGAGTTACCTATGCGAAATAAACAGTATCCAGATATACTACAATGTAATTATTCCCCTTGTCGCTAATTAGCCAAGCACCTGCGGAAGACGACTAAGAAAAGAGTTAAAAAACCAGTTTTGAGATTTGACAGCTCGGTCGTAGGTTTTACATTCTATTGCAGGCGCCTTTCAATTCGTTTATGTGAAACGTGATTCTGGCTCTTTCAAGCGTTATGCATGAATTGAAATAAATATAATGATATTTGAAATTCTGGAATATCTCGTTTCAAGCCACTAGGGGGTCCCCCATCCGAAATGAGGTACAACGAGAGGGATAATTTGAAAGGAGTGGACATTCTTGGGACAGGGGCGAATAGAGATGTATGCTGTGTTTAAGGGGCTGTGTGAATGGGTATTCATTTTTAAATCAATAGATACAATTTGTATTAAGTAAAATACAATTGACATACGTGTTAATGAATCATTAAAATACGTTCATGTTTTCCACCATGGAAATGAAAAGGTAATTCTATTATCATTATTATAAATATTTTCATTATTTAGAAGGTATGTATTTATAACTATAATTAGAACTGTGTTAGTTTCATATGTTTCATTGAATGTTTCTTATTTTGTGTGTATATCAGAGAAGAAAATATTATTTCAGAAATGGAATGGTTCATATCTATATTTTGGGGCAGATTTTCTCTTTGATCTTTTCTCTGCTTATGGTCATGAGGTGTCGAAGATATGCTATCTAGATCGAGCAAATACATGATTGCAATACCATGTGCACATATGCTAGGGCTTTAACTGCCTATCCTTTGAGATGGCGGAACCATACCACACCTCATATATGTATTTCATGTGTATTACATGAATACATTTCGAGAACTATTCTAGAAATTTTCACAAAAGATGATGTAATAATCACAGCGACTGTAAACATGTATTGTATTAACAGACACAGACCCGGGGAAGAATGTAGCCACGTGGAGCTATAATATGAAATTCGTATACACAAATGTTGTCTTAAACGAAGAATACAAATAGCCATTCCAGCTTGCTGTCAAATTGAAAATCAAGTTGCTTCACACTGTTGACATTTTTACGCAACAGTTCACGCGAGACTAACGAGCAATGCTACAACAAATGAGTGTTCTTTCAAGTCTGATACATTTATCGTAAATGGACATTTATCTCTCTTTCTCTCTCTCTCTCTCTCTCTCTCTCTCTCTCGTTAACGACGTCATATTAATCAACGCTGCATTCGAACCGACTAGACGATTAATATATGATCACTTTTATAAGTGCTAAGTTGATATTGTTATTGATGTTATATTTTGTTACAAAGTGTTGGATTACATGTACTCTGTTACTTACTAATGTAATTTGAAGTTGATGTGTATGTTATAATTCATAGATTAATGCCATATTAATGATGCAATTAACAGTTCCCTGAAAAACGTTTGTTTAACGTCGATTAATATTTATGATACAGTGATATATATCTCTTAATGAGCGCCTCGGGGCATCCTCGCAATCAGCTTGACGCGCTAAGCTCTCCGAAATCCTGGAGGCTAAGCGATATTTTATAATTAAATGATATAAAAACTACTTCTCAAACTTTTAAATAAGCTTTGCACTTAGATATGGCAGCAATACATTGTGTTTAATGTAAATATAACAGTACGGGCCTTTATTAGTTAATAAACTCAACCCCTTCATATCAGTGTCGGCGGAAACAACGAGTACAGCGAATTGCAAAGTTAGCCAGTTGGGATTCACAGCTCAAAAGGTATCTAAATATTATTTCTGTCGTTTCAGCAGAAAAGTGTTTCATTTCATCTTCATCAATAACAAAATAAACATGAAAACTAAATAATAGCATATTGCAAAAGATACCCACTCCGTTTGTGTCTGCGATACCATGATTTAAAATATTTCATTTCGGGTTTTATTACACTTCGTCTTTTGAAATATTATGCGCTCGTATTGACCAAGGTATTATCAAAGTAAATAGTTAAATATTTGATGACTGTTCGTGTTGTAAAAATAAGATTATTGTTATCACAGTCGGTCTGAAATGTATATTATTACAAGTGCTCACCTGGGCTCGTATGTACCGCCTAGACACAAGAATCAACAGGTGCACGTTTGAGCATTTCGCTTAACGGTTGACCATAAAACCTCATGGCAAATGAGATTTATTCAAATGATGCAGAGAATACACTGACGACTCTTTGATGTTTTGGTTGCTCACAACAGTATGGAAACTACAAGATGTGTAAAGGTATTAACTGACAAATTAAAGAAATCGTAACTGTCGCGATTTGTTACCAGTCAAAACTTCTGTCCCAATCAGCTTGGCAGCGTAGAATATTTTATGCAGATATGGTCGAAATTCAATTAGTGTTGTATTCGCCGACGGTGTAGCGTTTCAATCCACCTCCGTCGTTTTTTCATGTAGCTGACATTCGCTTGTTTGTCGTTGTGTTCATTTTCTAGTCTCGTGAATCAGGCAGCCTGTGTGGCGGAGGTAGTAAATTAAATTTTCATCCTTCGGGTGTCCGTCACAACAGGTACACTACGGTCGCATTGTGGGCCCCAACGGTTTCAAATTCAAGCCCATAAACAAATCAAAACATTGAATTGTTCAGGGCAAGTTTTATCAAAACCAAACCAAGATATAAGCAAATCCCGGTGTGGTATTTCAACATTAGCGCTCAGACCTCGCATACCAACACACTAGTCTGTCAGTCGTTCCATATATAGTTACTGTCAATGATGCTTTCTAAACATAAATAAACAATGTACAGATGCGGGGAATATATCAAGTTTTATAAGGCAGATGGACATCGCTTCGGGAGGCTAACATGGGCGTCTGTCGGGCAAAGAAGAATAGAGATTTTATTGTTGAGTGTAATGTACCTCGTGGACATCCCCAAGCGGAAGGGGATGAGATATGGGGATTGTTCTCTGAAAAACGTCTCCTCATATAGGCTGAATAAATAAGTGACACTCGCCATAGTAATGATACTAATAACCTGTTTCACAGATCGTTGCCATTGGCAAGAATTTTTACTTCTCTTCCCGTATCCACAGTAATGGAACAAGAACTCTTTCTTCAAAAGGAATATGCATCATTTAGGCCTTGTGTGTGGAATCACTAGGGTATATCGAAAAATGCAATTGCTGTTTAATAGAATCCACCTCTCCACTTAAGCAGTGGATATTTTCAATTCATGGATTGTTATTTACTCGTAAACACAATGCTAATCGTCCTTTTCAGATACGTTTTTCCTTCCTTTGAAACTGCATTAATGCATCGACTTCAATGGCTGGGTACAATTCCATACAGATATCGATACTTCTTAATGCATGTATACTTTAAACCCTGATGGTAAAAGTATTTAATTTGTTTTCCTTGTATTTGATTTCGAAATCATCTAAAGAAGAACCAGTATTTACTTTCCGCATTTCAGCAGATGCTTCGGAACGAGTCTATTGCGAATCCGCTTTTACGAACAAAGAGAATAAAGGATTTGAGAATTGTTCAATACTTTCAAACCAAGATGCTTGAGCATCCTTTAGATACATCTATCATTATTTTCTCGAATTAACATTTCCATGTAGACAGGCAACTTAGTCCTAATTACCTAAATCCATTAACTGTGACAAGACGAGGGTTGAATGGTTCCTTTTCAAACCAGCATCACTGGCCGGAGAATGATTACATTTCACATCACCGCGGTCCTCTGGTTATTACATCTTGGCCATTTATTATTTCATTACATGTGTAGACACATTCTTATTTGTAAGAATCCTGGAATCTGCGAATTGTTGAATATTTATCATATTTGTTTTTATCATTTGCAATTGTTATAGTTATATTTTCTGGCTGTTCATCTCCATGATGCGTGTTTCAGTGCGCGGCCCGGTCGGCCCCCTAAGAGGTCCCCGTCTATTCATGCTAGCCCTGAGACGATAGAGAAACTGAAGAAGAGCCGTCTAGATGGAAGTGACTACCAGTTCGACCCAAGGCTCTATGGTAACTATCTTATAAAATTGATTTAATTTGAGTATCTACTACACGACGCATATTTGTTCAGACATATTGACATCTATTGATCGGGTGGTCAGGCTCGCTGACTTGGTTGCTGCACGTCATCGTATCCCAATTTGCGCGGATCGATACTCATGACGTCAGTCACTGGATTGTCCGGTCCAGACTCGATTATGTACAGACCGCCGTCATATAGCTGGAATATTGTTGAGTGCGACGTTAAACAACAAACAAACAAAACTTTACTGAATACAGATTTAATCTGATCCACACAACACGCACGGTTACAAAGTTTACTGTTATGATCTAATCCACACAATCCAACACAACAAACAACACCAACATAGCACAACACATCAGGTCCTACAAATAAAGCGACAAAATCGTTTCCATATCCAAAAGAAATCTCTGCATAAAGTAGAGTCGATTGCACGATTTCAACTATATCATGAGCATGTGTTAATAATTCACTAACCAGTAGTGAGGACACCAGGTGTTCGCGAAAAGGTGGCACCCGTCACAAACACATGCAAAGAAAAGTCAATTGTTCACCTGCAAAAAAAGCACAGGAACATATAGTACAAGTCAAAATAGGTAATTGCAGGGGATATCATATGTGTCACCGATGCGTCAAATTTGGAAATGTCCTCCACATGTCTGCCATAAAACTTTTTGAAAGCTTTACTGAAGCCTTGAATGTTAAACAACTTCAGAGCAAGAGTCGCATGACGCTCCTTGAAATCTTGACACGCAAGGACACGCGAAGCCCACACACTGGTCAGCAAACCATATCCCCTTCTGTCCATCTTCCCATCCTACCATCTCACCATCCTACCACCTCACCATCTCCATACCACCACGTCCCAACTCACCACCTCTCAACCTGCCCACCTTCTTACCGTCTTTGAACCCCAAACCAGTGTATCGTTCCCCGACAAGGGGGCGTAACTCTTGTGTCGCCTGATTCCGTGTTTTCTAGCACGTTCCCCAGTTTCCATTCCCTACCCGCGTATCAGTTCCTGGTTCGAGAGTAATGGTTCTCCACCTCCAATGATACACAGTGAACCTAGATTGGATGTTCGCCCCAAGGAGACTTCTACATAGCGTTGCCAAGTCCCAAACCCAGTTTCACAAGGGTGCCGCATGCCTGGTGTCCACTCTCGGTGTAGACAAATAGTAACATGCGTAGAACTGCAGGTTCAGTGAAAGCATCTGATCTTGTCAAGACTAATTAGAGTCTGATGACGTCAATCACGTACATCATGAACGTAACCATTCGTTGTTTACGCCGCACCCAGCAATATGCCAGCTTTATGACAGCCGTCTGAAAATAATCGACTCCTGACCAGACAATCCAGCAATGGTATGAGCATTAATTCACGCAATTGGGAAACGATGACATGCATCAACCAAGTCTGCGAGCCGTATCACCCGATCCCGTTAGTCGTCTTTTACGGCAAGGATGGTTTGCTTAAGACCAATTCTAACCCGGACCATCACGTGTCTATCAAGAAATGTTAAGTGAAGGAGGAAGTCATCCAGTTTGTAGATGTTTACCAGTTTAATGAAGCTTCCAAGAACGGGGACAGTAACGTACTAAGCATGTCATTTGCTGCACCGTTTACAACAGTCGCTGCCAGAGTGATCTTGATTAGGTGAGCTACGGTATAAATCACTGGCAATAGGAATCCACACCTCAACGCCCAGTGACGGATCTTCAATTTCATGCCATCATATTTTCCCCCAATTTTTGTCCGCCCTAAAATATGAATTTCAAATTGGACTGCGTATTTTATTGTAAACTTAACTTGACAGCGTTAATTTTAAATAGTTTGAATTTGTTCCCCATCGCGCTGTATTCCCTGTCAGGCATTGGACACCGACGTGAGCCATACACTCATTCATAATTCAAAGCAGTTCTAAACATGAAAAGACCTTACGGGATAACGTGTACAAAAACCCGCTGAAAATTGTTTTCATCATATTTTTCTTTGAGCATAACTCCTTTGATCTTGAGAACATACCATGTTGCCAACTGCTCTTAACATCAGTGTTAACGCTTACCGCTTAACTGACTACTTCTGAAACCAGAAATGATTTAAACATTGATTCTTCTTTACCGTGGCTTCAAAAAATCAAAGATAACAGGCAATGTTAGCCTAACCTTATTTGAAGGCAATAATTTTGTTTAGCGTGTAACATCTGTATTAATAAGTTGCATGTAAATCCGCTCCCCTTCTCCTGCAGAGTCTAAGCCGATTATCCCTGTAATCCTCGCTGATAATCGTGTACCTTTGGTTTCAGAGGTGCTATACTGCTCTCGCTAAATTTATAATTTCTTTCAAAAATCAATGGTAAGGACTGCTCGCGAGCTGTTAGGAGCTGATCACTTATAGCTGCGGAGCACGAAAATCTATACCGAAATTCTATGAATTCACCAACCACTAATAGTCGAATGGTAGTCCTATCGCTGAAACAATAGACTTCTATGGCGCCAACAAAGACGCGATACCTGATCACTCCATCCATTGTTTAGCTCGGTGACTTAGTAAGGAATTGGTCAGGGAGGAGTAAGATTCAGCATGAAGCCCAAGAAATTACTGGTTTATCGTCACAAACTTGTCACACATTGTATTTTTGTTATTGATTGCTAACTACGTATTTCCCTTTCCGTTTTGTGATCCCTTAAGAATATAAACGGCTTTGGTTCACTCTCTGAACAAAGAGTCACGTCCATTCTTCGCCTGACAGACTTAACAGTTGATCGGGAGGGTTTGAGAGATAATGGGACCAGCCTTTAATCCCTAAATAACTCCCTCAAAATACGGTAGCAACAGTTGTTGAATCAAACATGATTAATGACTGGTAGTTTTGAAATTAAAATGCCTTACTGACATGTATTTAATGTGTGAAAATCGGGATTAATCAAACAATTATTTACATTTCTGGCACCAATTAAATAACGCTTTATCAAAAGGTCAAACTAACTTTTTTAATAGCGTGTCAATGGAGTAATTTTATATTCAAAATAAATTTACATTGACTACTGTATCAATATTTAAAATAGAACTGATATATTTCTTTAATGAGTGTGGCGGGTTACCCTATACTGAGCTAAGGTAATAATGTTAAAACGTCTCTTCGTATGAATTATCGATGATATAAATTAATTTGATGCAATGCATTCAACATATTAATCAAAATCGAAGCCGAAATAAATATGCTCGTTTTTGCGCTCGGCTTTAACAAGCACCATCAAACAATCTTGAGTCATGTTGTGCAACTGCAAGGGCATTAGTTTGTATGAAATTGAAAGTTACACCAGTTTGGAAACGTTTACTTAAATCTTGTTCATAGTTGAAATTGACGCATGTCAATTTCCTTACCCTCATGTAGCTCTTAAAGCTTGCTGTAGCTTTGACGGTAATACATTGCAATTAATCAATTTCACCTGTCCGTACCTGTGCGAGGCCCACCATTCCATTCTTCTAATCGCTCAATGGAGAGGCTGACATTGTCTCAAATAATCATATAAATACGTTGTAATTGTCCTAATAACTTAAAATGTTGCATTTTATATTTACTCAATGAAACACGTTTAATCTTATCTGTCTGTGGTCCCCTAAAGCAAAACGATGCACTTATCGATATGGAATAAGAATACAGCGTCATGCTCTTGAAATTTCTCATTGTGTTACCTGAAAAACGCTGAAGATGGCCTGGGTGAAACGGACATATGCTGGGGAGGGGTTTTTCATCACAACAAACGTGTCAAACAGACCGCTAATGTAGAAATGGATTGTGACAATGTTGGACAATGGGACATTTGAAAGCTAATTACATCTAATGCAGTCTAGAAAATATCATATGGATTTTCATCAGTAGAAAAAGAATTAATTCATAGGGGACTCGATTCTGGTGTTTCGCGCTGTTACTCAATAGAAGATGACAATGGATTAGTGTAATTGTTTTGCAGCAGTTAAATAGAATGAAATGGGTTGGATTATAGAATTTCTTGTGATTAGAGCAATTTATAGAAACATTATTGTATGGTAGAATAGTCTTCAGAGACTGTCCGACCGAAAGGCTTTGCATTAAACGACTAAATTGTCTACGTTCTTTGGCTGAGTCGTTAGATCTGTACAAGATAATGGCATCATCTATGGGTTCACGTTTGTAAAAACGTGATGTCTTTTTCATTAGTTTGACAGGTAAAGAAATGCACACTAGGGTGATCGTGTTCAATGCACTATGAATTACTTTTCCTGGGGTCGGAATCAAATTAAGCTATGGATTAGTTCCAATGCACAGGTAGGACCAACTAACGTTACAGATGTGTGTGAAGTTATAACATGTCAATTTAACTATGTAACATGAATCTACATGGAGTCGTGTCGATAGCGCAATCCAGTTAAGTATCGATTGGCAGATTTGAAGGATTAAGTCTGCCGGTAAAATAAATTGAAATACACTATGAATGCAATCAAGAAAACAGATTGGGAATGAAATGTACCATTGGTCTAGTTGATTTCTCTCACCAGGGATGTTTTCCTCCACACGAGTAAGTTTCTATGAACCATTTTTTCTGTGGTTGAAAAATTGAACATATCGTCTTGCAGCTGAAAGTTTGGAAACAATTTTTGGGTCAAATAGTGCATGAATGTTAAAAATCTTTTTTAACATTCCTGCACTATTTGACCCAAAAAGGACATCGCAGCGTGGTGGTTAGGATCTGAGGTTTGGGTGAGGGGTAATGGTGCGAGTTTGGGGTAAGGATGAGGATGATATGATATCTGCACGAACTTTATCCTTATTGAGAGTTAATTGGGTAAAGGAGCATGTCGTCTTTTCTTTGAATACGTAAACACTCTCCCACCTACACCCCTAGCATAACACGGCTGATTTATCAGTTCACCATTTTGCTACTGTATGCGAAGGACAGAAGTTCACTCTAGCATTCTCTGTAAGTGTAGAAGTAGACTGAA